GCAGTACAGAAACAGCGCGCTAGACCGCTCGGCTATCTAGGCAAGTCAAAAAACTTGCTTTCGATGCCGATGGAATTCTCGCGGCGCTGCCCTACACTACACGGTCATTGAGAATGAAAGTGAGATACAGTTATTTGAACATTAGTTTTATTAGATGATTGTTACCAATACACGTTGTAATGAAATTAATTTTTCATTCTCAATGACTTTCTATATTAATATTTCTATTCTATTAATATTGACTTTCTATATTAATATTTCTTCACTTAGGGCAGTTATGTTAGTTTAACAGTTGTTAGTTGTTAGTTTAAGAGTTGTTGCTTTATATATATATATATATATATATATATATATATATATATATATATATATATATATATATATATATATATATATATATATATATATATATATATATATATATACGTTTTAGGAAGTTTTGCTTACATTTTAATGCTAAAATTTCTATGAATTTCAAAACTTTTAATAATGTCAACATACTAATAATAAAACATGATTACAATAGCTCATAGTAATGTGTCCATAATCGAGTCGTTAATATTTTTGTTAAGTGACCAAAACGTGACAATGCATGATAACACTACCCAATAATTAATCTTTCAAAACAGTTGAAATACATTAGTTTCCGTATTTGTTAAGGATATTGTCGTCCGGAATCTGGTCAAGAATTTGTCATAGGCAAGATCGGGTGGAAATACGGTATGTAAAAGTAATTCCTGGTATGAATGCGGTGTGAGCCTTCCCGCAGGTGAGAACAAACTTTTGAAAATGTTATAACAGAAACTTGATCTACCTTTGAACATAATGCTATAATATATAGTTTACACAATTTTAACGATTAAGCATACATGTAGAAGAGATTATGTATCTCTATTGCTTGAATTATACCTCGTTGCTTGGGGACATGTTTATTAAATGTTAGTTAAACGTAATTTCGAAGTAGTCATCATTCCATCTGATTCTGAATCATATACTACAATACCTGTTTTATTGTTGTTTGCTACATACAGAAATCAGATTTTGTCGTTACTAATATCAATGCAGTTTATTATAGTATCAAACTGTAACTTTTTAATGAAAGGGTTAATCAGAAAATAATTATAATATACTAGTTTACTAATGAAATATTTAAAAGTTTGGTACCAGTACAACGTTTCCGTTGTGGATAATGGGTGGAACGACTGCTTGTCCGGAGTGCGGAATTCGACAATTGACTCCATGCCTTATGTAGCAGCAGTCGTCTGTAACAATTCCAGAAATATGAGGTTTGATATATGCTTTTGATAATTTTTTGAATACTGTGGAATCATCATTGTTCGTGGGGGATCAATGTTCGTGGATTTCGTGGGTCACCCTTACTCACGAATTTACATCCCCACGAACAACTATTTTGTCAACGTACTGATTAATTAGATCTACCAAATAAACGAGCTGCCCACGAAATTACATCCCCACGAACCAAGAAAATTTTACTTGCCCACGAACATTGACCCCCACGAATTTAAATGACCTAGTGCGGTAAAGTCAGTGGCGTTTTCAGACCCATTTTCATGATTTTTCTGTTAAGTCTAAGTTGTAATTACTGGAAATTTGGATTATCTCCCTTTACAAAATTGGTTTATTTCTCATATTTATATTTTGTGTCTGCTAAAATTATATGCATTGTTAATAATACTTTTGAGAATTTCAAACAAATTATTAAACGTCACAAAGGTGGCAACACACGACAAACTGTTTTACAGACTTTTTATTCATTGAAGGAGGATAAGATATGGTGTTCTAGTGATGAGAGGATTATGGAAAGAAATATGCAATTTAATGGGTAACTGGGCTATCAAAATACTTATTGCATTAATATAAATAAATTTAAGTTTACTTAAATTTTTTTTATTGTAATCAATAAGTGTCCTCCTTGAATGTTCAAGTCTGAATATTGTATAGTGATGTATTATAATGGTTATTTTGTTTCATGTCTTAGGAGAGGCAGAGATTGACCAATCAAAATAAAACAATTAAAATTGCGGCCACGCGGTGCGTTACTCTGCCTCTTCTCCCACCTACAGCCTTGGAGGACGGACGTTTTTTCAAATTTGTTATTTACCTCCTTCCACCCCGCCTTTGCCAAAATTTTTGGTGGTAATTTTATATTTTAAGCCTTTTCAGACCCATTTTCATGATTTTTTTGTTAAGTCTAAGTTGTAATTACTGGAAATTTGGATTATCTCCCTTTACAAAATTGGTTTATTTCTCATATTTATATTTTGTGTCTGCTAAAATTATATGCATTGTTAATAATACTTTTGAGAATTTCAAACAAATTATTAAACGTCACAAAGGTGGCAACACACGACAAACTGTTTTACAGACTTTTTATTCATTGAAGGAGGATAAGATATGGTGTTCTAGTGATGAGAGGATTATGGAAAGAAATATGCAATTTAATGGGTAACTGGGCTATCAAAATACTTATTGCATTAATATAAATACATTTACAAATGATTAACCCCCGGAACACATAAAACAAACATTGAAATTAATCTTTATAAATGTCATCAGAAGTCTCTGATATATATTTATTGCATGTTATAAATAAAAATTCAATAGGTGGAAGAAATTTCATCAGCTGTCTCCCCATAAATTGTTAATAAAATTTAAAGATAACGAACAATAATCAAGCACCAAATTCCACTGGAACAGTGCAAATTGGGAGCTGAGCAAACACGGACATCTAAAAACATTAGAGGTGCACGTGGGGTCAGATGCCATAGAGGAGTAAAATCCACTGTCGACCGGTCACACTCGCCTTGTGCTTCTTGGCTTGATCGTACGAACAGAAAAATCTGTGGACAATTTAGTGTAAAAACAATGACCTAACAATGTGTATGAAAATGTCAGTCAACATTCGATTTAACGGTAGATTGTATTTTCTAAAACAGGTCATTGTATCGACATAGAATTTGAGAAAACGAGACTGTTAATATCCCTGAATAATCAACTTATTTGTCAACAGCTTGCATCTTTTTAGAGATTGTTCATACGTAGAGCATGCTCTCGTGTATCGAATCGATTGCCAGACAATAGCAAGCTACTGTACATACAAAACAGTCACTGATATTTATCTACATGAAAGATTTGCAGGACGTTCAATGACTCTCTAAATGTAATTGCATAAATAGGTATCTGCCTTTCCTGATACACATAATGTCTTTCTACAAAATACGCATCAGACACACAATAATTTGTTTATTATACATATTAAGTCAGAAGGCATTGATGTTGCAAATTTTTAAGCTCAAATGAGTATTTCAAATAAATAGTCCACAGTATGTACATGTATCACTTCTTTTTTTCTATGCATGCTTCAACATAACGGACGTGAAACATGTTTAATTCCAGGTGAATGTGATAAATGAATAACAAACTATTACATATTAATTCAACAAAACTCGCAATGTTCAATCTTTTGTCTCCATTCGGATTAGAATGAGAATGTTAGACTAAGTCTGGTGGCATTAAATATCAATGAATACCAATCAAAATTTAATTTTTACAATCAGATTGTGAATTTCGAATATGGCTATGAATCGATATTTGGTGATAACTGCCAAAAATATCAAGGTTAGTAAATGATATGGTTAAAGAAATACTGCATGTGGGATCATTCGAGCTGGTTCATATAAAGTACAGGGTCTCTTAATTATATACTGGTATTTGGTTTTCAAAAAAAGTGGAAACTATAGACAAACTTTCTTTCTACTATTTTTTTTCTGATATAGTATAAGGAAAACCAGTAGTTATGAAAACGTCAGTTAACATTCAACTTAATGATAGATTTTAAACGCTAATTAGGTCATTGTATCGACCATAGAATTTGCAAAATGACTTTAAACCAGACTGCTATTATCCTTATATCATCAATTTATTTATCAATAGCTTGACTCATTTTAGAAATTGTTTGTATGTAGAACATGATATTGCTTTTTGAATCAAGTGAGAATCGTATACTCCATATGCAGGAGATAATGATGTATTGTTGCAGAAATATTGGAAATTGGCGATAAAAAAGTTGAGTCATCAGGTGTATTATAAAGTTAGTTTATCGAAGAATTGCATAAGAAAACAAAGGCACATGTTGACATGTTTTCCACTAGGCATATTATATAAATCAATAGACGGCTGAAAGTATTGCTTGATTAATAAGGATACGTGGTTAAATGAAAAATTAATATCGCAAATCTTACTCTACTCATCTGATTGTAGCTTGAGTTACTAATACAGTATAGATGGCTTCAATATTAGTATTATGGTGTACGATTTTAAATTCTTTCATTAACTCCCCCCCCCCCCCCACATTCTGTTCATGATTAAAGAAATCATGAAAATATTCAAAAATACATTTTTACTACATAGGTAAATTGTGAAATATCTTTTATTTTTATTTTAGGGTATTATCGAGACAATAGAAATGGACAGTTCAACTATAGGTGTCTTTCCAGTTGTTGTTTTTGGTACTTTCACGGTGTGAAATTCAGATTCCTTAAGTCTCTGTTATTGAAAAATGTATACAGTTTGGACATATCAGCAATTCTTAATGTTCTAAAATGGCGGATTGCCTACTTTAAAATTTTCTTGCATGGTTTGCTGTACGACTTATACTCCTGATGGTCAATATCTTTAAAAATCAAAGCTCAGTATATCTTTATTCATTAATGAATTAGCAGATAAAAACGTCAAAATAATTGGCATTAATAAGTGACTACATTTCAATTGTTTATAATAATTTTGGAAAGCAGAACACGAGTTTGTGAGTAGAGTTCGTTGTTAATAGTAATTAAACAAAGATTGCACTTTGCTATTATGAATAAAAAGACAACAAAAGTTAGTGACAAACCTTCTAAAATTCGTCAAATCTGATCAATTTATAAGCATAATGGCAACTAAAGTATCTACTAAATGGTTAAGGCCAATTATATTCTGACTCAGTTTTTGTGTCTAATCATCATCTGAGTCCTTTGAAGGGCTCTGTATCCTTTCCAGTGATACCACACCACGTAATTACCATCAGCATCAGGTGAGAAGGCGTACTTTCCATTCAGGTGTGATCTATAACAGTCGTTGTGCCACCAGGCTCCGTGATACCTTGTAGCACAGTTACGAATTTCACTCTCATCGTTATCCTGGTCTTTTGTGGTAAATCTCATACCACTGTGATAAGCTAGACTGTCACCTAGAAAAGGGTATTGATAATATTAAAGTCAATCATTTCCCTATAAATCATTAACTGTATGGACATTTCAATGTTCAGATAAGGAATTTTGTTATTTCAACCATCATTTGAATTTGATGCTTGCTTTTATTTTTGGGATTTATATGCATTTTAATGTTGCATAAAAATGTAACATATTTAATATGAAATATATGGAGATAACAAACAGTATTCAAGCTCAAAAGTCCATTAAACATTACAAAATAGGAGCAGAGCAAACACGGAACTCCAAAACATCAGAGGTGGGATCAGGTGCCCGGAGGAGTGAGCATCCCCTGCCGACCGGTCACAACCGCCGTGTGCTCCTTGTGATGATCGGGAAATAAAGGAAAAATCCGTCGACAATTCAGTGTGTAAATTATGGCCTAACAATTAGTATGAAAAACGTCAGTCAATGATAAATTGTATTTGCTGACGAGGTCATCGTATCGACCATAGAACTCACGAAATGATGACTTTAAACGAAACTGCTGATATGTTTCATCAACCTGTTTGTTAATAATTTACCTCGTTTTAGAAATTTTAAATATGTAAAGCATGCTCTTGCGTATCGAATCAACTGAGAAATATAAACCCCTATGCAGGTGATGAAGATATATTGTTGCATAAGTAAGGGAAGTTGACGATTGAAAAGTTAAAGTCATCACGTTTATCATAAAGCTTGGTTGTTAGATTACCATTAACGTCTTTATCAAGTAAAATATCCAGATATGAAACTGATGTGTCAGATTCTGTGGTATCTTTTATCTCAAGCTCACCAAGATATATCGTATCGACATAATAATGGGAATAACCATTGTTAATTGACAATACGTCGTCGATATATCCAAATGTCGAGAAGAAGGCCACAACAAGTGTTTTCTTCTTTTCACGTATAAGATTTGGACAAATTTCTCTTTATATGAATACAAAAAAAGGTCTGCTAATAACGGGGCGCAATTGGTATACCCATGGTAATTCCAATAGATTGTTGGAATATCTGGTCTCCAAAAACCACATAGATATTGTCAATCAGAAACTCAAGCATCTTTTTAATGTCAACTTCAGAGTACTTGTGTGTACAATCAGAATGTTTTTTTTTAGCAAAATAATTTTGCAAATGACCAATGACAAGGTAAGTTAATTTACGAGTTCCATTTTTATTGAAAAAGCAGCTGTCAATAATATCAAAAAGCCTGGACTTTAATTTATCGTGGGGAATAGTTTTGTATAAAGTCGAAAAGTCGTAAGTTTTTAAGCTGTTGATTTTGTAAAATCTTGCGATTTCAAAGTTTTTTTGGAATTTTTAAGTATCCACAACTGATTTACACCACTTCCCGAATATATTATTGCACAGTACTCTTGAAGTTTCTCTTTCACTAATGTTAATATCTTAGTGATGAGTAAAGAAAGAGTCTTGGTTGAACATTTACTGGAACCCCTATGTATCTTTGTTTGTAAGGATTTTTATGAAGTTTCGGAATCCAATATAGTTAGGTTAATTCAAATTCATTTTGGTTTTTTGGATATGTATATATGACGTATTTATATATGAAATATATGACGTCATACTTTACATAAAGTGCGAAACATGTATATATTATATATGATTTATCTTTCTTTTAACATTAGCTCATATAAAAAAGCAATGCAAGAAAATGCTTCAGTATTTAAAAAAAAAATTAATAGATTTGATATTGAATGATGGTAACGTTTTCCTGCATCTACAAATCTTCTCCGATATCCATTGTCAGATCAACATATTGAAAACTTTTTGAGTGAAGCAACAGTATGTGTCGAAATGTCTAGTGTGTTCTCTAAACTGGGAGATGTTATGCTATTCTATACTTCAAATTCTCATCTTTTATAATTTTTTTAGAATGATCAGATATGTTTTTTATGGACTTTGTAAAAAGTAATTTTAATGATATATCTTACCTGCAGTTCCTGTGTATCCGGATACTGTGAGTTTGTACTTGTTTGCCTCATTTCCGATATAAAATGTTGAATATTCAGCATACGCTGTTCCCCCATCAAATCCGTGGAGGTCTACTCGAAGTTCCTGGTCCTGATCTTTGGTTAGAGCATGGATTGCATCATTCCCTTTGTATTAATTATAAGGAAAATAGATAAAACGATGATCTATGTATTGATGGAGGTAAGTGTATTTTTCCCGTTTTTTTCTCTAATAAATTCAGTTTTATTTTTAACTTACAAATTGAGAATAAAAGACACCAATTGCGACCGCATAATCAACATTTTATCGTTTATTGTAAGAGTTGTATGGAAAATATTGGGCTGAACTTAAGTTGAGAAAAATACGATTATGAGATACCGCCATTTTATACTTTTTACTCTTGAAAGTGCAAAGAAATGAATGTATATCACCAGAGATGGGATCATGGACTTAGGATGAGAACATCCATGCGCCGTTTGTATTGAATAGGTACGTGGAGTAAATCATAGTCAAAATTAATATTAAAGGAGTAACATAACTATTGATATGAAATATATCAGTCAAAAAAGCCCAATTACTGGTTATATTTGTAAAAAAAAGGTATTATATCGACCATAGAAATTGCCAAATCTATCTACAACGTTTAATTTCCTCTCTATATATATCCAAATGAACTCGAAATAAAACATAACCAGAGTCTGCTACCATCTCGGAACTAAATTTATGACAAATGGAAAAACTCCAGTTTCTCCATTCTCAATGACTTATATTTTTATAGAAATATTCGGTTTTGACTAACATATTCAGCCGTTATGGTAGCTCAGTTGGTTGAGTGCTCGCTCCATGAGCGGAAGGTCATGGATGAAAGCCCTGATTGCGACAGATCTTACTTGATAAGAAATAGTAGCAACAGTTTCGTTGCCAAGAGCTCGGCACGTTGAAGTGAAGGTGCGATCAGTATAACAGTTTGACAATAAAGCAAAAATAATCATGCTGAAGTCATATTTTTTTCGGGTAATGATAGCTAATTAATAACATTTTCTTTCTCGGTAATATCCAAAACAATTCGTGATGATTTATTCATTGATTTAGTATGTTAATCATCGATAATCACTGAGAGGGATAACAATATGTATTGATGTGAAGAAAAAATAATTGAATATTTTCAGGATATCTGCAATTCAATAAATAATTCAGAAAATTCAAGGAATCTAGGCTATATTATTTCCCAAGCGATTATCGCAGAGAATATGCATATTGCGAATTTACATTTCATTCCTTGAAAAGTAAAAGTGCCATAAATTAAAATACACTTGAATTTTTCAAAGTTTCGTCAATTATTACAAATAGAGGAACAGAGAACTCCTAAAAAGGACTTTACTTCCTGTGTTTGCAATTTGTTTTTGATTTGCTACAGCTTTCAATTAAAATTGACAATATCATTTTCCTTCCTTTTGAAGATATATACATATAATATCTTCAATTCTTTTTAATTTTTTTTAGCTCACCTCTAACAAGATCTTACAAGATTAGAATTTTTGGAGCAGGTTTAATACTTAGTATCTAAAAGTCCTATGGTGATGCATACCACCAGACTATCTTTGGAAACTGAATCTGGCCTACTTTTTCTGGATGAACTCATATGTTAAATTTTTTTGGAATATGTTCCCAAATAACTGTTAGCGCTACCAAAGTTGCATGGATGATTAATCCAGGGATGCACATTATCAGACTTGCTTCGGATAATCTGGATAAAAGTTGCATGGATGATGGATCTGGTAATGCACACTTCGGGCTTGCTTTGGATGCTGGACCTAACTTTCATTTTCCCGTTGAATGAACGGGTTAAAGATTCTTTTTCAAAGTAGCTGTAAGCCGTACATGGTGACTGAACTTATATTGCTTATGTATTCCCACTACAGATTCGGAAGCGGAATCTGACCTACATTTACATTGCGAATAAACTGGTCCATTTTTCAGGTAAATAAAAATCCTGATTGGACCAAACTAGTAAAGATGCATCTATATTTGTTTTTTCTGAGACTTTTTTGTTTTATTTTAAAGATAACTTCGTCGAGGTGAGATTAGTAATCTTTGGTTATATATGTTTGATTAAAGAATAAATCAAACTATAACCAGAATTTTGGAAAATGTTGTCTCGCTTATAAATACCTAATTTAACTATAATGCAAAATTAAGAGGTCGGGAAAGTTGATGATCTAAGTATATACAGTACAATTAAATAGTCAACAAACAAGGGGTAAAAAGGTTCTACATTGAAACATGTACAGACATACCTATCCAGTAATTTTTAGATGCATTTCCAAATCCCTGTTTGAACTCTTTCCATGTTTTGTAAAAATCGACGTCGCTATCCTCTCGTTTCTGAATGACCTATAAAGAACAATGATTTATGTAAGATTCCTTGTAAAACAATTAAAAAAATTGAAATTTGACCAAAACATGCCGATTCTAGATTATTTGGAAAGTCTCAGACTGGAATATATGCCGGTGCCTACCACATGGCGATATTGTTGGGCTGAAGGATACTGTGAAAGATTGAGCGTTGCATTTCTATTTTGAACATACTTACTTTATTGACAATGCATCAGACATTCAAAACAAGTTCCAGAAACCCGCTTCCAGTCTTGTGGTTCTTACTTGTGAACATAGTAGAATATATAAGTGCATATTTAAATTGATAGTAAAATAACCGTTTTTATAGTGTGGAGGCTTGACCCTTGGCTTTTGGAAGTTAATATTTTGAACTTGTTAATCCTTAATTATCTTCACATTTGACAACACTCATTAGATTTTAATGCAATATATTTGTCTTAATAATTTGGCAATCTGTAGTTGCCTCAGAATTTTTTCAGAGAAAAACGACTTCCTGATATAAGGATATTTTAAAGAGTATGGAAGAGAAAATAATAAAGGATAAAGACATTACTCACTGTCCAACCTCCTCCGTCTGTTGACATGTCACAGTAGACCTCTCTGCGGGTGTCAGGGTAAATAACATACACTCCGTCTTGTCCTTTTTTGCTGGTGTCTTTTTTAAAAATCTCCGAACAATCCTTGTGTTTCATTTCTGTTGCATATGCAAAGAAAAAATGAAATAAGTGACCATTTTACTTATTGCGCTATTTGTGCACCACATGCCCATTTACCCATTTGAGAGATAATTTATAAACAAATGGTGCAATGTATTTTCGTCTTGCGCACCGGTGTGCAAAAAACATGATTTAGTGGATACTTAAATCAAAATTTTTAAGCAATGATGCTCTGAAATGATATATGAATTTATAACTTATACAAGCATTTGGTATCAACCCTTTTGAAAATGTCATCGGTGTGGTTGGGTGTCCCCTACAGATCCATTACGTAATAGAAGAGGGTATATAATATGGATTTTACTGTCCTTCAATGTTTCCATAGTCGATCAGTAGCAAAGAAGGATGCAGTTTCTTAATTCCTAGGTTTTTATATATTGTTTTGTGAAATGTTTTGAATATCGGTATAAAAGGTGTAATTAGCTAGCCTGTGATCAAGTGGCTTAGAAATTTCATTGTATACGTGCAACTACATGTCTCTATCGTCTTATGCGAACTCAGCGTCAATAGAGCTCCTTAACCCATAAATTCTGTTAGATGTAAATTTACTTTTCACCGACTGTGTTCTAGTTTTTACCCTTTATTCTGTTTTATTTTTTAGAGTTGTCTTTGAAAGAAAGTGGTAGAAATACCTAATATCACCTTCATCTTGCATTCATACTAATAATGTTTTTACCTTCAGTGTTTTAATGATTTTATTTCGCTTTGACTTATCAATTCAACTTTAACTCATGGAAATTATCGGACGATGGAACCCGCTTATCACAAATCTTTTTATTGACATCCCAATTCTTTTGCGTTATTTTCAACTACCGATGTCTGGTCTGTTTCCTTCACGTGCACATTACCGCATGACGGCTACAGTTGTACATATCCTTTTGGTACTTGGTCCACTTACCAAACCTGCAGTTGTTCGTTGTCTACTTGGTCTGATGTTGTTGCTGTAGATTAATATACTCCAACTAGTCTCATGACGACATATAATGTCTGATATTTCGTCTGACGTCGACATTTGTAGGTTTTGGTTTATTACTTAGTCATGTCTTTTTTGTTTCTTGTTCAGATGTTATTTCATGTAAATCTCCGATTCCTACTTGTTCTGATGTCGACATTGTATATTTCGATTGCCTCTTGGTTTACACATTAGCACGTTTGCTAATTTGTTCATGTTTCTTTGCTACGTGTTTTGTACGTACACTAGTAGACGTCTGTGTGTTACTTCACCTGATACGGACACTTGCACAAATCTATTTGCTACTTGGCCACAGACCATCACTTGTATTTGTGCATATACTATGAGGTCCGATGTCGACACTTGTATATGTACTCCTTTTGCTCTTTAAAGGTACTTGGACATAGACTTGAAGTTAATATCTTCTCAAATTTTCTATATAATTTCATGACTTATATGTTGCTATAGCATTTCAGACTAAAATATAATAAAAATCTTATCTCGAAGTTATTAAAACTTTGAATTTCTGGACGCGTTTGATTGACACATCCTTGCGCTTTCACATATTCTAATTTTATTCTTAATACTTTAGAAAAGTGGCAATTTTGTTGTGTATTAATGAAAAATATTAAAACTATAACCCAGAAAATTCAAAGTAGAAATGTTCGAAAGCAAAACCCACTCACAGTATTGTAAGTCCGTGCTCAGTGGTGTGTGCAGAGTTTAACAATTGAACACACCCGGTGAATCGTAAACATTAACAATAACAGAGCTCGTGCCCTGTTTACAAAAACAGTTTACGTTTCACGGGTGTGATCAATTTGTTAAACTCTGTACATATCACAGAGCATGGACTGACAATACTGGTGAGTTGGTTTTGCTATTGAACATTTCTACTCTGAATTTTCTAGATTATAGATGTAATATTTTTCATTAATACATAACAGAATCACTTCTTTTCTTAAGTATTAAGGATAAAGTTAAAATTTGTGTAAGTGCAAACACAGGACGAAAGACCATCTTTAAGCAATCGCTTAATGGTGGCTTAATGGTAGCTTAATGGTGGCTTATAGAAGTTAATTCCTTTAAGCCACCATTAAGCCACCATTAAGCTGCAGCTTCTAGGTGCTTAATGTCCAAACTTCATTAAGCTACCATTAAGCCACCTTTAAGCTACAGCTTAATGGTGACTTAATGTCCAAACTTGATTAAACCACCTTAACGCATCCAGTATCAAGTCCTTAAAATAACTTGTTAAGTTTGAAGTTGTTTCAGTATCATTTACGCAAATGCTTATTCAATTCATAACTTTTTTCTCGCTATTTCTAACATTTTTGTCAATGCGTTTTAACTTGGGAACTGAGAACAGCTTCACCAAATGCCTTAAAATTTTCGCTCCCTAAAATCAGTTTGTTTGAATACTTGTTTTAAAATTATTTTTATCCATAAATACATAATAGATATTAATTTTTTTAAAAATCACATATTTTTCTTTCGTGTTTGGAGAGCCACGTTCCGCTGCCGAGTTCATAGGAAATGTTGTAATTGGAGTCCTTTTCTTCTGGAATATCTCTAAGTCTCTTAATTTTTCTTTGGGTAGAGAAATGTTTAAGATAGAAAAAAAATATATAGGTATAGATTATATTGCCAATCATTAAATTACTTCATGAATAATTTGAATTAATTCGTGGTTAAGTGCCAGTATTTTTTCCTTTCTTTTAAAATACTGCAGAAGTAACAATTTATTTAAAATAATGCAGAAGTAAGAATTTATTTAAGATAATGCAGATGTAAGAATTGATCAAAATTTAGTCCGTCTTCAATGATTGTTATTTCAAAATCAATTTTCAGAAGAACAGCCGATCAGATTAAACAGGGCATCCACCAGATTTATACACATTGAGAAGCGGGGTAAAATAATCAGTGTACCATGTGTACAGTATATCGACTAGTTAGACAATAGACCTTAATTAGGTGTCCCCACCAGTCCCCGGTCAATTAACGGGAAACTATACACGGGAACGTACAGTGACAGATTTTGATGATATATTATTTTTACAAAACTTAAAATTTACGCAAGCATATAACAAATTAGAAATTATGATTGTACACAAAAAGACAATTATTTTGATACCCATAATGATATAAAAAGAATTAAAACTGAAGATGATGTGTTACAAAAATATTTTATAACTTAATTGTTACGCAAAGCTTGTCAAAAATCGTAAATATCCGCAACATATTTATAAGAACTATAATCTGGCTTTTTTCCCATCGTTCTCTTTCGATGATATATCCTTTTTAATAACAAAATTTTGTTATATCTGTTGAATTTCAATCTTTTTATGCTTATAAATCTGCGAATAACAGAACGAGGAATTCAGTTACTTATATTCAAAAACTTGTTTCACACCATCACACCGAACTCCGGTCCACGGTTAAAAAAATATTAACGTAATATAAAACTTTATAAATTTTTTTTAAAATATATATAAATATAATTATTTGTGTTATTGATTAATAAATATAAACATCAGAAAAAAATACGTGTACAGGTATTTGTAACCATTTCAAACAAGATTTGTTAAAAATAAAGGTTTCATATTTCACTTCAGTTTCAACAGCCTCGATACCTCAGTGGTTAAAACGTTCGCCCTCTAATAAAAGAGAAAAAAAAAAACAAAAAAAACGTTCGCCCTCCAATCCAAAGGTCGTGGGATCGAATCCTGTTGGGAATGATTTTTTTTTCATTTATTTTTTTTAATTTTGTTTCTTTTACATTATTTTCGCCGAATTAACAAACGTATAAACTCGACATTTATAATTTTTGTGAAGAAATCGTTATAAAAATAATATTTAACCCAAAAAAGCAGTTTTATCGACTGCGTAATGGTGACTTAATGGTGGCTTAAAGGTCGTTTAATGGTAGCTTAATGGAGTTTGGACATTAAGCACCTATAAGTTTAGCTTAATGGTGGCTTAATGGTGACTTAATGATTGTCTAGAAGCTACCATTAAGCATCTATAAGCCACCATTAAGCCACCATTAAGCTACCTTTAAGCATCCATTAAGGACATTGAAATGGCTTAATGGTAACTTAATGGTGGTGTATTTATTACTTAAATGTAGCTTAAAGGTGCTTAATGGTGACTTAAAGACAACCATTAAACCATCATTAAGGACCTATAAGCCACCATTAAGCCAAACTTAAAGGAAGTGTTTCATCTTGTGAAAGATGTGTTAATCAAACGCGTCCCGGAATTCGTAGTTCCAATAATTTCCAGATAAAATAACTTTCTAATTATATTTTCGTGTGAAATGCTATTGCAATATATAAGTCGTGATATTATACAGAAAATTTGAGAAAATATTAAGTTCAAATCTGTGTTTAAGCACCTTTAATACATATAAATCAAAATATTAGACCTTTCTTTACCAGCGTTTCTGAAGTCAACGCTTCTTAATCAGATATCAGCAATATTCCTTTTTCTCCCAAAGTAAGAAGGACACCTATTTAAATTTTCTGCGCGAAACATTTCTAAAACAATTATTTTTACGATGATCCAATTTAAATGATTCAAGAATTACTTTGAATTGCAGAATCAGACGATAAATCCCCGAATACTTTTTTGTGTTTCATTATAAATTTAATTGTTTTTTCGACTGAAGCAAGACAAATGTTCTTTCTTTGAGGAAAATGTTTATATAAAATATTTATGAGCTTGTTTCGTAAGACATAATGAATTCAGTCGTATTTTCTGTACAGTTGAATTTGCAAAATAAAAAAAAAATTAATTAAAAAGAAATTTAACTCCATCAAGCGTTATAAAATGAATATATTTCTAGAAAACGATATAAAGAATTCTAAAGTTAAAATCTAAAAGTCTTTACCTGCAGATATGAGATTAAAACCAAAATTTACCTTTTATTAAAGGTACACAGTTACCATGGATACATATGGAATCATCTGTACAGGAATGGTTTATACAATTGCCCGCCAAGTACTGAAAATAAAACAACTCC